GCAGCAGGATGCTGTGTGGGCACGAGGCCCTCGGGGCAGCAACTCCAGCTGGGAGTGCAGACGAAAGGGATCCTGTGATCGAGCAAGTCTGCATGATGCTGGGTTAAGCCAAGGAAAATGGTCTCTCTCCAGCTAATTTTTTTTTCCTTTTCCATTATAGTTTATTGCAAGATACTGAATATAGTTCCCTGTGCTACAAAATAAGACCTTGTTATTTATCTATTTTATATATAATATTTTGTATCTGCTAATTCCAAACTAATTCATCCCTCCACCTTGCCTTTCCACTTTGGTAACCATAAGTTTGTTTTCTGTGTCTAAGTCTGTTTTGTTTTGTAAATAAGTTCATTTGTATCATTTTTTTAGATTCCACATATAAGTGATACCATACGATACTTGTCTTTGATTTATTTCACTTCGTATGATGATCTTGAGGTCCATTCTGTTGCTGCAAAAGGCATTCATTTTTTTTTATGGCTTTTTAAAAACTCTCTCCCACTGATTCTGAGCACTCATGGCATGCTAACATGCGCAGTTAACCTAAGGGAAGGACACAGCATGCCAAGGGTCCCAAACCAATTATTCACAGATCTCATCTTCTAGAAACATTTTCAGAGGCCGGATTTTATAGCCCCTATTTAGGGATGCACTACACCGGAAAGAAGGACTCCTGGAGAGCCAGGTTGTTTTAGAACAAAACAACCAAAGTACAAGCAATTAAATCCAGTTAGGCAAAACCACACTCTACACAGAAGAAATCAAGAGAGGTAAGAGCGCCCCCTCTCCCATTTTCCACAGCCCTCCACCATGTAGCCCCGTGGTGTCCCCACGGGTGTTCGTGAGATGCCGAGGCCAAACCACACCTGCAGAGTCATGGAGAGGAGCTCCTTCCGTTCCTTGCCGTGATCCTGCAGGCGCCGCTGCCGGTGCTGCGACCAGCTGGACTCCCCCGTGGCCAGTCCGCTGAAGAGGTTCTTCCCGTCCTTGGGAGCGCTCGCTGGCTCCCTGCCCTTGGCGGTCTGGAGAACGAGACGCCAAGCTGTGAAAAGTCTCTTCCCACCTGGGCCAGGAGGGGAGCAGGAGCCAGGGAGTGGCCTCTACCCAGCAGCTCATGGGTGAGGTTCCTCCCTGGCCATGCTGAGCAAGTAGCTAAAATGTTACTATCTCAGGCCCTGAGCAAAGTCAAGGATGAAACACAAGCAGTCTGGACCTCCTCCTTTCTGTTCCCCACTCCTCAGTCCTGAGAGGACAGGTCCCCAGCACTTCTCCGCCAGCCACATCTATCACCTGGAGGTGGAGATACACAGAGCTCTCTGATCTAATCAGAACAGCTGACTTCAGTTAAGGGGAAGAGACCAGCACTTAGCAGGCACGATTAGGAGGCAGGTCAGGCCCTACGCTGGGTGTTACAAACACTGATGAGCAGCTACATGTTTGGGCAATACAGAAAAAAAAATTATGCAAAATACAATCACCCCTCTGGAGGGGAAACGGAACATAATAAATACCCTCTCTTGTTTTGGGCCAAGTGTATGACTAAGCCAGCCAATGTTAGCAAATAATGAGGTTTTTGAAAATGATTAAAAGGCAATCAGAAATTCTTAACAGAAATTGTTGGAAACTCAAGGACCTTTGAACAAGATAAACATCACAGGAGAGAAACTGGCATCTTCTGGCTCCTTTTCATAGCAAGAGAAAGTCAACCAAGGTTACAGCTAACAAACTCAGTAATCCCCACCCCACCCCCATACAGACTGAAGATTACTGATCTAGAGCTTTTTAAAAGGGAGCTGCTACCTCTTCATCTTTCCAGATTATCTGGCTTGGGTTCTCTTTTTCCAACCCCATTCCCACAAATTGTGATGGTCACCCTCCTACTCGCCCCTTCCTTTATACTCTTAGCAAAGGGATCTGGATGCAAAAAGCCACTCTGCCACCAACCTCCTCACAAGCCATTTGCACAAAAGACCTAAGTAAAGAGAGTAAACTCAGCCTAAGTCTACTTGTGGCTTTCCAGTTCTTCTCATTATCTCACGTTAATGTTAAACAACTTAAAATGATTAACATACATTCCTTGGGACCTGGAGTAATGAGAACAGTTAAGACAGGAAATTTTAAAGGTTTTTAGTTTACGTGGAGCCTCGCTGTGGCTGACCGACACGGTACTGATCATCTTTGTTTTCCTGGCTGAGGTGACCTCCAGTGGCGTCTACTTGTGCCCGTAACAGATGTTTCTTCTAGAGAAAGTATTTGATTCTCTGAATTCTGATTTATTTTGAAAAAAGTAAAGTTCTTAGTTAAGATTAAAAAAAAATGACTGAAGAAGAAAACCAACAACATCAATATATGTTACTCACTGAGTGTTCACCATAAAAGGCGCCATGCTAAGATCTTTACAAACGTCCCCTTAAAGATGAGGGCATCATTTAACATGGAGAGCGGATGCTTTAGAGAGGTTAAGTTACTGGTCTACACAGGGAGAGCTCACAGAGTAGGGATGCACACCCAGATCTGACAGCAGCCCCACGCTCTGAGAAACCTGAAGAAAGCACATGGAAGAAAGCGACACTGAACAGAAGAGATCAGAAGAAACGTCATAACCCCAGAGCTAAACAACCACCAAGATAAAGCCCATCTCTCGGTGCTTCTGGCCCTCCTTGAGAAGCATCTGATGGTCCACGGAACACTGGCCAGGTTCCACAGTCTGAGAAAGTGGAAGGTAACTTCTCCTCCCAAAAGTAAAAGGTGATCTTGAGGTAACCATGGTCCCTCACACGTTCCCGGGGCAGGGGTGCACAGGGTCAGGGGGAGGTTCACTCCCCAGGATGTGATCCAAGAGTGCCAACCTTTCTTACACAAATCCATTGGTTCCTCTCCATATCTACTGATTCAGAGGGCAAACTGCTCAGACTGAAGAGTTCCACAGGATAGGCTATACTTAGACAAAATAGACTTTAAGTCAAAGACTGTAATAAGACAAAAAAGGCTGTTATATAATGAATGATAAAGGGGTCACACCAACAAGAGGATATAACATTTGTGAATATTTATGCACGTGATATCAGAGCACCTCAATATGTAAAGCAAATATTAATTAACTGACCTGAAGGGAGAAACAGGCAGCAATACAATAGTTGGGGACTTCAATACCCCACTTTCACCAACGGATAAATCATCCAGACAGAAAATCACCAGGGAAACACTGGACTTAAACTGTACATTAGATCAGGTGGACTTAATAGACATTTACAGAACATTCCATCCCAAAGCAGCAGAATATACATTCTTCTTAAGCACACATGGAACATTCTCTAGGACAGGTCATATGTTAACCCACAAAACAAGTCTTGAAATTTTTAAGGGGATTGAAATCACATCAAGCACCACAATGGATGAAACCAGAAATCAATTACAAGAAAAAAACTAAAAAATTCATAAATATGTGGAGACTGAACAATATGCTCCTGAGCAACCAATGGGTCAAAGAAGACATCAAAAGAGAAATAAAAAAATATCTTGAGACAAATAAAAATGGAAACAGAATATACCAAAACTTATGAGGTGCAGCAAAAGCAGTTCTAAGAGGGAAGTTTGTAATAATAAACATCTACACTAAGAAGAAAGACCTCAAATAAACAACATAACTTTACACCTCAAGGAAGAGTAAGCGAAGCCCAAAGTTAGTAC